GTAGGAGCATTTGTAAGACTAAAGAACATGACTGTAGACTCAAACAATCCTAGATTTGTTCTGAAAGCTGCCTTTCACTCATCACCCTCTCTGATTCAAATATTATAGTATCCCTAGTGTATATTAAGCTTTGTAAAGTACTGAGAGGCAAGGTTTTGGTAGGCTTGTTCCCTCTAGTGTTGTTGTGGGCTCTGGTCAAAACTCCCCCCCATTCCAAATAGGAAAGAACTAACTACATAAAGAAAGTGATTATGTAATCCAAAGAATTAAATAAAATCAAGAAGATCTGATAGTAACCAAAATCAGAACTCTTCACCTCCCCAAGCTTTAAATAGTGACTGTCCTCAGTCACTTGCTTTAAGAAGCAATAATGAAGGGTAAGTATAAGGAGTGTAGGTAAGGATAAAAGGTATCAATCAAAGTAAGATAAAGAAACAAAGAGTGTGAGTCTCAAGTAAGAATGAGTGTCCATAAAAGAAAGGAGTATAAGGGAATGTTAGAGTAAAGAGAATGTAACCTGTACCAAGGCCAAAGGCTTGCCAGACCAATCCTCTCCAACTCTAACATAGATGGTAGTAGTAGTGAGTAGTGGGTTTCATCCAACAGCTGCTCAGGTCTCAACCTGACACTTCCAGTTCTGATCTGCTGAGTCTGTCAAGGTTAAAATCTGATTACTGTCCTTGAAATCCTTTGTCTCACACTCAGTTAACACAAAGAACAGCCTCCCAATTATCATGTTGAACATTGTGTCCTTCACTACATGAACCAGCATCACTATTAATATTCCACCTACTGACACCTTGAGTCTCAGAATGACACCTTTGATTGTAATTGATCCTACATTTGCTAGCCTGAGGTTCGTCCACACTTGCTCCTTTGGTACTCCCAAGTGTTTCCAAACATCTTTGCACATTACATTCATAACAGCTCCCTGGTCCAGTAAGCTCTCAGTCTCCAATTTGTTGTTCAGCTTTACTGTTGCTAGCCTGACTAGTACACTTCCAGCCTTGTTGTTGCTGACTGGGGTGCCTATCTAATGCTCCCTTGCTCAACACTACTCTGATCCAACAGCTTCTGACATCCTCCTACATAATCTGCTTGTGCTCAGTATTCTTGCTAGGCTTGACTGATTCTCATTGTCTTAGCACTTGATCCTTACAGATGCACTTCCAACCTTGTTCATCCAGCTTACTACTGCCCTTTACAACAGCCTCTGCTGCTCATCCATTACACTATTCTCCCTTGTCCTCACTAGTACACTTCCAGCCTTGTTTGCCACACTTGCTCCTCTGCTCTACTCTTGTTCTTGTTCTCTAGCTTGAATCTGACTCAATCTGACATAATCTACTACTTTCCCACACAATCTGCTTGTTCTCAGCTCTGCTGCTAGGCTTGACTGTGCTTTGTCATCCTTGCATACAACACTTGTACCTGTATGCTAATCTTCTCTACTGTTGGTCCTTGCTTCCTCACTCATCTCTTCCTCCTCTGCCTTTACAGGTCCACTTCTGGCCTTGTTTGGCATTTTGTCACACATCTGAGTTGTCCTCATAAGCTTAGCTGCATACTAGCACTCAAGCTCTGGAGCTATTGCAAACAACTTGTAGTGTGTCAATGTGACAACACTGTCCATCATCCAGTCTAAGACCTGCTTGATGATCTTGCTCAACTTAGTGCTTTGCTTCAGTCTGACTTTGACTGGCTTTGTGTTAGCCTTCATAGTCCTTGCCTCCTCTCTTTGTCTCTTCACATCCCTCAAGCATTCCTCCAACCTTGTCACCTCTGTATCCAAATCTGCTCCAAGAATGGCTTTGTACTTTTCTCCCTCACTTGCATTCAACCTATCTTTTGCTTCATCAATTGTACCTACTATGAACACAGGCTTGTCTTTGTAGTATTAGTCTATACACTCCTTCAACATTGCTCCCTCTACACTGGCTGGCACAAATGCCCTACTCATCAACACAATCTTCTGCCCTAACCTCATACACTTCCTCCTCTGAGTGTACTTGCTCACAGTCCTACAGTCACATACAAAATGTCCTTACTTTCCACAAAAGTTGCAGGTCCTCTTGTGCTTCAGGTCGGATTTCACAGAATCAGCAGATTGGTCAGTTTTGCATGCTTGATTCATCAGCATCTTCCTGGACTTGCTTGCTTTGTTGACCTAGGCTTGTAACTCTTTGAGCTTCCTCACAATCTTCACATACTTGTCTCCTACTTCTTTCTCTGGCTTCTCCTTTAGCAATGTCACTGTCTAGTCTCAGCCTGCCTCTGTCTACCCTGCTAGAAGAATGTAGTCTGCTAGCCTGACTATATTAGTGAATTTGAACAGCTTGCTTACATCCTTGTCCACATAGAGAATCTCCAGTCATTGTATCAGGTTTGTCCTCAGCATCCCTCTGATCCCTCTCCAGAACTCACAGTCTAACTTGTGTGCTGACATCTTCCCTTACTCCTTCAAGTACTCTGCTTGCACCTAGAACTTGCAGTAGTAGCAGCCAAACTCTGTCTGTACTGTCATTTCCTTCTCACTCTACACATTGACTAGTTGTATAATATTGGCTCTTGTGTAGCATTGACCATTGATCAGCTCCAGATAGAGCTTTCTGATCTCCTCTTTCACAATGCTCCAATTGCACACTCCTTTCTTCTTCAACTTGGGCACAGTAGCCTACAAACTGCTACAGCTTGTTACTACATAGTACATCACTTGCTTGCACATCCACTCAGTGTCCTTCTGGAAGTTAGCAGCTAACATCTTAATGTCTTCAAAGAACTGTAGAAGTTCCTCAAGCTTGCTACTGTCAAAGTACAGCACTTCTCTTGATCCTCTTCTCAGCAGCCACATCATTGTGCTTCTTGTGCATCAAAACAGTCAGTTCAATTCAAAACAAGTGTAGCAAGGCCCTCAAGGCCAAGATCAAGACAAAAACAACCCAGACACTTTAGAACAGAGGCACCACCCCTCACAGTAGGCTCCAAAATGAGAGGCAAGGTTTTGGTGGGCTTGTTCCCTCTAGTGTTGTTGTAGGCTCTGGTCAAAACTCCCCCCCATTCCAAATAGGAAAGAACTAACTACATAAAGAAAGTGATTATGTAATCCAAAGAATTAAATAAAATCAAGAAGATCTGATAGTAACTAAAATCAGAACTCTTCAGTACTTAGAACCTTTAACCTTATTTAGAAGCTCTTAAATTAAAGGTAGAGAGTACTTGTTCTTAATAATACCTTTATTAAGCTTTCTGTAATCTTGGATTAGTCTCAAAGATCCATCCTCCTTCTTAATAAAGAAGAAAGGTAATACTATAGAGGACTTTGAATATTGAATCCTTTCTAAAGCTAGATTCTCAGAAATAAAATCCTTGAGTACATCTTGTTCTCTAAGAGCTAGAGGGTACACTTTACAATCTGTAGCCTTAAAATCTAGCTTTAGATCAATAGTATAGTCCTAAGATTAATACTCTAGTAATTACTCAAAGGATTCTTTACTAAATACATTCTTATATACTTTAAGATAATAAGGGATTGTAAAAACCAGGGTAGGATCATTATCAGTTCTTCTTAGGTACTCTAGAACATCTGAATACATCTCTAGTTCATCTAAGGACATGGAACAACTGTCTAGACATTTAGTAAAGGACACAATACCTTGTCCCTAATTAATCTCTAGATTATACTTGTTTAACTAATTATATTCTAGAAAGATATTACTTAATACTAATATAGTGACTGTTAGACAAATTGTCTCTGTATGTACTTTAACAGAGAGTTCTACTTTAACATAGTCCTTTAGGAGACCTCCATTATTACTTGTACTATTAGTATTGAAAACTGGGAAGGGATTCTTAAAAGGATATGTTGTTAACTTGTTATTCTTAATAAAACCTGTATCTATGTATAATCTAGTACACTCTGAATCAATTAGAGTATGTGTATTAATGAGTCTATGATCTGTTTTAATTGTTAAGAACATATCCAGTTGTCTTCTAGTACTAGAGTAAATGTACAAAGCTTTCCTAGGAGAAACTGAGCCTACAAGTTTACAAGGGATGTTCAAAACCATTCCTACACCTTCTACCTCTTCACAGACGTTAGAATTAATAGGTTCATCAAAGAAATAAGAGTCTTTACTGTTTAGAGTGTTATAATATAAACAATAATTGTCTATATTTGATTCAGATATTCAGTATCAATTATTTACATGATAATAACTCTGTTCTAGCTCTTTCTTAAGTAATACAGTGTTTATACCTGAGGATTGACAAAAGACTCCTCTTCCTCAATCTGTTCCTTGTCTGATTCTTCATCTATAAAGTCCTCTTCCTTTAATTCCTATATTGCCTTTACAAAAGCAAACCTTTCCTTAGGTCTTATAGCTCTGAGAATCATTCTAACTCTTTAATACTAAGAAGGACAAACTCTGACAAAGTGACTAATCTCTCTACTGTCACACTCATACAACATGTATGTTCTAATACATTCTAATCAGAAGGGCTTAGTTGTACCAAAGTTGTATCATCCTCATGTCAGCAATCCTTTGATTACAGCATCATTGCCTACACAATAGTCTTAGTAACTCAATTCAGACTAGTTGGGTTCCAGACTATAGTTCTGATTCACAAAGGCAAGACTCTAAGCCTTCAGACAGTTAGTTGATTAATACAAAGGGGACTTGAATCCAGAGTCCCAGATAGGTTAATACAAAGGAGACAGTGGTGGATTTGTTTACAAAGGACTAGTAGCTACAAAGGACTCATATTTTCTATAAATACTCTTATGTAATTTGTACTTTCTAACAATCAAGTTACTCTCTACTATGACTCTTAGTGTGTAGTTTGACAGTCTCATTAGTAAATGTTCCCTCTTACCTTGTCTTGTCTTGTCTTGTCTTGTTCTAAAGTGCAGCTTTGTTGTTCTACACTACTCTTGTCTTGTTAATTATCACCTTCAGAACTTGTACATTCTGCTCAGATCTACCTATTCCTTCTTACTCTTGACCCCTCTCAGTGTCTGTACCTTACAGACTCAACTAACCTCTTCTACCTCAACTAGTACTTGAGATTGACACTACAAATGTAATAAGCTCAATTTTTCTTAGTATTGTTAATTAAGATGTTTATTAGTTCTCTAGCTCCTAATAATGTTTTTCCATTAAGAGTCAATCTGAAAGGATGTAAGGTTAGTTGAGAATTTGTCTATACATTTAGAGCTTTAAAATACACAGTAGGATTGGATTAAGGAGAGTTGTAAGCCTTGTTAGGAAGATTAAAGTATAGACAGTTGTCAGATTAACTACCAGAGAGTCCCTTGTGTGTAAGAGTCTCCCTGAGTCAAGTTTCATTATTGTCAATCTGAATTGTATACTTTTTCCATTCATTATAAGTATCTAGGACTAGTAATAAGTACATTAACTAATAAAGTACTTTAGGATTAAGAGTATACTAAAGTAAATCAATCAATATAGAGTCATATACTTTACCACTCAGTCTAGCTTCAGTTATTGAATCTTAAACTGTTAGAAAAAGACATTTACAGAGTAATTTCCTTGCTTGAGTTATCTAAGCTTCTGAATAGCAGTTTATTTCTTACTAGGGTTATTAAATGATTGCCCTAGTTACTCTATGAATGCTTGGAACAATTGTGTACAAAGAATTTCATCATTATTGTCTGTGTTTTGAGTAACCTAATTTTCTACTTATATAGTAACTGTCTCTTCCTTTAAATAAGAAAGTACAAAGAGTATTTTCTTTTTACTGTTATAGAAGACTCTCTCATTAGTAAGAATATATAGTAGACATTCTCTTTTGAAGTCCTAATAATCCTTGCCTCCTTTATATTCTCTAAGAGTAGTAGTAATCTTTCTAGGGTTTCTAGTAGAAGTATAGTATATTACTATAGTAACAGCTTGACTAGTAACCTCTGTAATCAATTGAGAGACTAAATTCATGTCTAAGTACATATATATACCTTACTAGGGTTGTACAGACTTGTAGGGGAGTGTAGAAGAGTTTCCTAAGGGATTTGATATTGTTCCTAAGACTAGCTCTAATGAATTGACTTCTAAAGTACTGAATACTCTTTCAAATGCTTGAGCAAGCTCTAAAACGTTTGGGTCTTTGTTAGAGACTAGTGTGAATGATTATAAACAATGTATAAGTCCTAGGAAACATTCCTTCAACTAGTTTGCTGCCTAGGCAACTTCAATCTTTCAGTTTTAAACTCTTAAGCTACTTATATACACTCTGTTCTAAGTACAATTTAGTGACTCTTATCTAATAACACTAAATAACTGTAAGACAATACTAGACTTTCAGATTGTAAGGTTCCTAAAGGTGTTACTACTTGAGAGAGGCTCTAGTCAACCAGTAAACAAAGGCTAGGGATTAAGCTTTATAAGTAGTAAGTTAAAAAGTATTTAGAAAAGTGTATAGTTATGTAAATTGTAAAGACAACACACAAACTCAAAAGAGTGAAAGAGAGTAAAGGATAGTAGTAATACAACCTTAAGAGTAGAGTATAAAATAATAGAAAAATGAAGTAATAATGAGTGAGAGACAATATAGAATTAATAGGATAGTAAATTGGTTTAATAGTTCTTTAAGAAAGTAAAGGTATGTTTATAAAGGGAGTAAGGAATACTCAAACAGGCAGTAGCTCAGTTTAAGCAAACCAATCAAGTAGTGGCTCAGATTTGGCAGATTAGGCAGATTTGGTAGATTAGGCAGATTGAGCAGATTGTACAGAAGGAGTGACTAAGTAGTAGCTTGAGTCAGGAAAAGTTGAGTAGCAGCTCTAACTATATGTAGAAAACAAATCAAACAGTAGTTCAGACTCAAAGGAGAGTTGGATTGGATAGAGAGGATAGTCAAGCAGTACCTTAGACTAGAAGGATATTAATCAAGCAGTAGCTTAGACTAAGAGTAGTATCAAGGTAGAGATGAGTTTTTTGACTCTTATGTTAGAGGAGATGT